TAGACTAGAGAAACAGAAGCACAGACACATATGTGTATAAAAAAGAGTTTATATACAGGAGCAATTGAATATTGAGAAAACGTCCCAGTCAAGCCCAGATCAAGACCATAGGTCTGATATTAGCCCATAGGTCCGATACCAATCTATAAAGTCCTCTTCCGACTCATGCAACACATGAAATGATGCCAAATGTGGGACGATCACAGGCCAGTGGTTGGGAAGTCTTGTGGATCCAGTGCTGGTGGAAGCGTCTCGGCGCTGGCGTGGGTCTCCACGTGGCTCCTCCAGCTCCAGGCTCCTGGTTCCATCAGAGTAGCTCCCTGTGGCTTGTCGACAGGAATGTCTCTCAGGGAGTGTCTGGGTGTCCCACCTCCAGGGACGATTTATCTCCTTGCCGCACCTCCAAATGAGGTCATCAAGGTGCGACCTGATTGACAGGCTAAACTCCACCCCTTCACTCTTACGTCTCAAATTGGCCACAGATTATAACCACCACTAGGAGGCACTGCGCCGAGCGGGGAGTGCTACACATATTACTGTCGCCCCTCTTTGCTCCTGCCCCTGAGGCTTCCATCTCTCTTGAACTCACGTACACTCGTCCCACAGTGTTCACGGATGTGGACACCCGGCAGGCAGGCCCACGTGGGCCAGGGCTTGTTCCCAGAGCCGACACTCTGGAAGCAGTGATGTGAGCCTAGGGGTGAGCTGGGGCCTGCATCAACACCCGCTTCTCCCAGGAGGGGCAGTAGGTACCCAGCAGGCCTGATAAATGCACCCTTTCTCTAATGATCACCACACAGATGACTCAGAGCAGCGGTTCTCAACCTGTAGGTCGTGGCCCCTTTGGGGGTCAAAAGACCCTTTCGCCAGGGTCACCTAAGACCATCAGAAAACACATATTTCCCATGGTCTTAGAAACCGCTGCTCTATCCGTCTCCAGGCGGGTCTGCCCACATGCAGATATGCCCACCTACAAGTACCCAGCGTGAAGACTGTTACCCATGCTACACCATGCTTCAAGACAAACTGTCATTTATTTGTCATTAGAAATAAATATTTCACAATATAGAATGGCATATTGTTCTGTGATGAATCACTATGCTTTATCCTGCATCTCAGATATTTACATGACGATTCATCACAGTAGCAAAATGACAGTGATGAAGTAGCAACGAAAATAACTTCATGGTTGGGGTTCACCACCCCATGAGGAACTGTATTAAACAGTCGTGGCATGAGGGAGGTTGAGAACCACTGACTAAGAGGATGAAGTTGAGTCCTAGACAGAAAAGCAGAGTCCCCACCGCTGCCTCTCCGCCCCCAGGTCAGAGTGCTAGGGCAACCACCTCCTTCGCCCAGCCTTAAGGGCTCCTGGCTGGGCTTTGGTGAAAATACTTCCTTCTGGGCCGCATCCCCAGCTTCCTAGGATTTCAGAAGAGCCGCAGAGATCCTTGGATGAAACCCAGCTTTTTCCTCTCCTCCCTGGAGTCTGATGAGAGGGTCCAGACCAGGATCTCCCGCTGTTCTACCTGGTTCCTAACCTCACACCTGGCTCCGTCAAGGAGCAGGCTGGGTCTCAGGAGGGGGCTTCCCCATGCCCAGCACCATCCCAAACCTGGTCCCCGAGACCAACCACGGCAGTTCAGCTTTGAAACCCCTTCTGTGGACCTTCCCTCAGTCCCTTCTCCCGTGACCCCAGCTCCATCGCTCCCTTACTTCTCTCCGGCCCGTAATCTGTGTCATTCCGTTAGTCACTCATTCATTCCTCTGCTCAATACGTCTATTGAGCGCCCATGGTCTTCGAGGTGTGATGAAGACTAAGAAGCCGTCCTGGGGTGGCTCGTGGGCTAGGAAAGAAAACTGGAAAAAACAGGAAAGCCACCACACACGGAGCACTCGCCAAAACAGGAAAGCCACCACACACGGAGCACTCGCCGGGTGCCAGGGACTGCTGGAGCCGCTTGACTGGCGACACGTCACCTGATGAGGCAGGTGGTCTTCGGCAGGTACGCAAAGTGAGGCTCAGGAGATGAAGTGACTTTGACCGGCGTTGCACGTGGACAAAGGGGCCGAGTCAGCAAGCAACCCAGAGAGAAGGTTTCGAAGCCATCCAGCCGTGGGGCTTGCTGAGACAGCCACCAACACAGGGTGTCCTGAGGACAGATTTGGGAAGTGGTGTGGGGAGATCAGAGGAGGCCCGTCGGCAAAGGGGAAACCTGAAGATCGTAATGATTTGTGGTGGTCTGTGTCTCCTCCTCCCACCTGCCTTCAGTCCGTGGACTCCATGAAAGACAAGAGATGCCATTTGCTTAAGTTCCTGTGGTCAAGTGGATATGAGGTGAGAGTGGCCCCTTGGACCACTTTTAAATGTAAAACCCAGTAGCATTGACTACATGCACAATATTGTGTGATCACCGCCATTATGGATTTCCAGAAAGTTTTCATCGCCTCACACAGAAACTCGAGCCCTAGCCGGCTCTCCCTGTCACTGGAGAGTCGACTTTCTGCCTCTGATTGTGCCTCATCTAGACATTTCAGGGAAGTGGAACCACATACCATGGGGGCTTTGGCGGCTGGTGTTTTCCAAGTTCATCCATGCGACGGCGTGTATCAGTACCTCCCTTCCTTTACTTTTTTCTTTCTTTTTAAAATCATTTTATTGGGGGCTTGTACAATTCTTATCACAATCCATACATACATCCATTGTGTCGAGCACATTTATACATTCATTGCCCTCATCGTTCTCAAAACATTTGCCTTCTACTTGAGCCCTTAATATCAGCTCCTCATTTGTCCCCCCTCCCCACTCCCACCTCCCTCATGAACCCTTCATAATTCATAAATTACTATTTTGTCATAGCTTACACTGTCCGACGTCTCCCCTCACCCCCTTCTCTGTTGTCCATTCCCCAGGGAAGAGGTTATACGTAGATTCATGTAATCGGTGCCCCCTTTCCACCCCACCCCTCATTCCTTTTCATGGTGGAATACTATCCCACTGTATGCTTAGACCGCATCGTGTTGAGTCATGCACTGGTGGATCATGGACTCAGCTTGTTTCCACCTCTGAGGTATTGTGAACGGTGGTGCTCTGAACAGTGGGGTACACATACTTGAGTCCCTATTTTCCGTTCTTCAGGAGCTACACCAGACACGGCCTTCATTTGGTCCTTTCCCTCTGGAATGCACTACAGCGCACTCATTAATGATGAGGTAGATGAACCGTCAAGACAAAAGCAGGAGATGTGTGACCTCTTTCTCCTGAACTCCACACTTAGCACAGCCTGGGCGTGAGAATTCAAACTCAGGCCCTCCTCCTGTTGGACTGCGTGCTGAGCCGTCTGCAATGCCTGGCGGGTGTGAACCTTGCTTCTGGCTCACAGAGTTGGGCTGGCCATGTCTGAACGACCCCAGGGGAAGGAGGCAGCTAACTGCTGGAGACCACAATGAGCTTGGGTGGAAGAAGAGAAGGAAGGTGAAAATAAATGAAGCAGAAAGAGGGATGGAGAGGAGAGGAGGTGGGACATGAGGAGGGGGCCAGAAAGGGGGAGCCGGTGGCTTCAGGCCTTCCCTCTGGACTGAAAGTCTGTGGCAAAGGGCAAGTGGCCTCTCAGAGGATTGTCCCCAGATCTCTGCTTCACAGCACTGTCCAGGCTCCTCTTAGGGACGGCCGTGTGTTAAGCGTGAAGTATGACAAAAGTAACGAGGCGTAGCCGTTGCGGTCGCCTCCAGCCACCTTGGGCACAGGCCGGTGAACTCCTCAGAGCGCCCAACTGGCCGGACGCCTTGATGGGCCTCCGTGCAGAAGCCAGGGACCGCACAAGGGAGGGTCATGGGATGGGATGTACTGGGGGTGGTGTCTGGGGTGAGGTTGAGGAGGGCATGTACTGGAGTGTGAGTCTGGAGTCAGTTTGAGAACAGGATGTTCTGGTATGTGAGTCTGTCGCGAGCAGGGAGGGGATGTTCTAGAACGTGAGTCTGGAGTGAGCAGCGAGGCTTCAGCTGAAGACCCAGGCTGGCAGTCATCAGAACAGCCTCATCGTGGTAACCACAGACACATCCAAGATGCCCCAAGGGCAGGGTAGAAAGAAAGAAATGTGCCTACGCTGGAATCTAAAGGAAAAGGCAATGGGGACAGAACAAACAGAGCAGACAGAGGCCCCAAGTGGAAGTGGGACATCCTGAGAGGAGAGGAGAGAGCAGGGCAAACAGAGAGCAAGAGGGAGAAGGGTTTTTTCAGGCCAAGGAACTCACAGAACAAGACCACCATGGCTTCTACTGTGGGAAGGCAGGAGCCTGGGTGGAAGGTAGACCTGGAGGTCCTGAGCCGAATGGAGTCCGCCTCTCTGAAAGGAGACGTTCTCTGCAGGAAGCAGGGAGTCGCAGCCCCTGGAGCTGGGGTCATTGTCTTGGGCCGCACACATTCACCCCTGCTTCCCAAATCATCCTTTAGCCAGGCCCTGGACACCTGCCCTCTGCAGCTCCTTCCCACATTGGCCCCTCACTGGACTCCACGGAGCCTGTATCACCCTGACTGACTTACCCACCCCTGCCCATGTGTGGTTTGTAACACGGTTAGGTCCGTGTTTGCCGGCCGCCAAGGTATGTGGATCACACTGTCCTCTGTGCCTGTGTCATTGTTGAACTCGTGCCGTCGTGTTGGTTGGCGCATGTGCCCTGTGTCTTTCTTAGGTGGCCTCGAGCCAAGACCCTGTCTGCTCACCCTGCCAGCCCAACCACGCCCACTCGCCCCACTTCCACCCCCGCCCTACATCAGGGCACTGGCAAATGCCACCCTCAGAAACCAGGCCAGAATCAAGATGCTGATTGCAGAAGGCAGGAAACTTTATTGACAGAACTTTTCTTTTTGTAGAGAGCGGGGAAACCAAAGGGCAGTGGGGTCAGAGAGCTGAGGAAACCAACCAGAAAAGAGAAGCGGGGAAGGTTGCCCCCCTCCCCCCCCTGGGGAAGTGGGGGTGAGGGGTGCTGAGAGTGGAGTCCAGAGCCTCCCCTCCTGGGGTCCCTCCGCGCCCTCCTCTGGGTGCAGGAGACAAAGGGAGTGGGTGCTGGGCAGTCTTTACATCTTGTGGGTCTCAAGGGCGGCGGTTGCCGTTGTTGGAGGGGGTGGTAGTGGAAGTAGTGGTGGTGCTGCTTGCTGTGAAATGGGAGGAGAGATGAGAGAGACTCAGGCAGAGAAGACCCTCTCACACCAAGACGGGGGCCCCAGAGGAGCCCCCAAACCCCTGATGACCCAGGGGGGTGTTGATGGGGATTGGATTCTATTCCCCTGCAAAGTGGCTCCCTCCCCAGACTGTCCAGGAACTCTTTGGGGGGGTGGCCGGCGTTGCACGTGGACAAAGGGGCCGAGTCAGCAAGCAACCCAGAGAGAAGGTTTCGAAGCCATCCAGCCGTGGGGCTTGCTGAGACAGCCACCAACACAGGGTGTCCTGAGGACAGATTTGGGAAGTGGTGTGGGGAGATCAGAGGAGGCCCGTCGGCAAAGGGGAAACCTGAAGATCGTAATGATTTGTGGTGGTCTGTGTCTCCTCCTCCCACCTGCCTTCAGTCCGTGGACTCCATGAAAGACAAGAGATGCCATTTGCTTAAGTTCCTGTGGTCAAGTGGATATGAGGTGAGAGTGGCCCCTTGGACCACTTTTAAATGTAAAACCCAGTAGCATTGACTACATGCACAATATTGTGTGATCACCGCCATTATGGATTTCCAGAAAGTTTTCATCGCCTCACACAGAAACTCGAGCCCTAGCCGGCTCTCCCTGTCACTGGAGAGTCGACTTTCTGCCTCTGATTGTGCCTCATCTAGACATTTCAGGGAAGTGGAACCACATACCATGGGGGCTTTGGCGGCTGGTGTTTTCCAAGTTCATCCATGCGACGGCGTGTATCAGTACCTCC